GTGAATAGGCAAACCTGTACGAAGAATGCAAGACTGTTATTATCCAGATGTTGCTGTTTTCTGGGTCTGTCTTTCTTCTGGTCACATTTTTTGGCTTACTTGGTAAGACGGTGGGATGTCTCTTCTGTCTCGCTCCTCCGCCCACTCCGGGCTATCTCTGAAGAACAGATATTATCCGCCACCTGATTTTATTTGTGCCACAATCTCTTATTTGATGTAACATTTCTTCCCGTGTACGTGTTGTGTGCTGTGCAGTCCCTCCACTTCCCCTCGAAACCCTCAAAGTGCCACTTCTGCCTAATATCAGCTCCTTGTGGCCCCATCATTTTTTTTTCTTTATTTACCACCCCCCTTCTCCCCTTTCCACCCACAGATCACTAATGCACACACAGTTCTCCCGCCCCCTCCAAAATTTTTTTTTTTTTTTTTTTTTTTTTTTTTTCACTTCCCAGAGGCCGGAAATTATCACAGCACGAAATTTTGGATCTCTCCGGCCTAATGATTGGTCCCCGAACATAAGAAGTGGACAACCTAAGTATGGAAAATATTCAATTACCGGAGTCGGAAAAATACAACAAAATAAAACTAGTACCGGTACCGAAAAAAGAAGATTTATTCATAACACACGTGAAAAGACCCAGGAAAACGAGTTAACGATAAAAACGATAACAAAATAACGCTGAAAACCGATAAAAACCCTGAAAACCATACATTTCACACCTGAGCCTCAACTCTCGTGGCCCGGTACCAAACGACTCACGGACCGGTACCGGTCCGAGGCCGGGGATTGGAGACCGCTGTGATAGATGATAGCAGAATTCATCAAGCTGCTGAAAGATGTAAGTAGACACTAATCGGTGGGTTTTTCTATTAAATAACCTTTAAAACTTACTGACTCAACCTTGAGTCAATTAGTGATGGGTCGGTCGCGAACGAAATGGCTCTTAGAGCCCGCTCTTTGACGTGAACGACGCGAGCCGGCTCCTTATCGCGAGCAGTGTTTTTTTTTTCTTCTCTTTCTCAACCTCTTCGCACTTTTTTCCCGCTGTGTTTTCATATATATTAAGTAAGTTTGTTTGTATGTTGTTATCTTCTATTTTTTTCATTATCGTCTTCACTTGATTTTGTACTTTGGCCTCTTTTTAGCAGGTATTTTTTGGGTTTTTTTCTTTCTCTCACCTCACGCACTTTTTTCGCTTCACTCTGCATGCGAGCCTTGTGCTTTGCGCTGCGAAGAGGGGGGAGGGGCGGTAGTTACACTCAGTAGCACAGGAACAGAGCAGGAGGGAGAGACAGAGAAAGAGAGCCAGGGACAACAACGTCACATTAGAAAGGTATAGTAATCATCCACAACTATTTTCAGTTGCAGATGATAAAGGATTCAGAAAGTTTATTCATGCAGGCCCATATGACAGAGAATATGCATGTTCTTTTTGTTTTCATATTTTAATTTATATTTAATTGTGTTGTGGTTTGCAGTGTTTTGTGTTGTTTCACTTTAAATTTGTTTAAAAGGAAAAAGCTGAAAATTTAAATAGTTAAAAGTTGAAATGTGAATAGTTGATTTTTGTATTATATGATTTATTTATTACATTTTATGTGGAGTGAATAAATAAAAGTATATTTACGGTGGCCCCTAGAGACAAAGCACATACAAACTTCAAATCACGTACGAACTCTGAAGCATGTACAAACTCCAAAACACGTAAAAACACGTACAAACTCCAAAACACGTAAAAACTCAGAAGCACATAAAAACTCAAAACACGTACAAAAGACAACAGAAGTGCTCCAGGATGCTAGGCGCAGTGTTGAGCTTTTGTTACCTAGTGGCTACACAAGCCAGCAAGTACCAACGACTGGATTTGGTGTGTGGTAGTAACAGGTAAATGAACATTTTTTTTTAAAAATTATTTGACTATATATTAATGCTTGTGTATAAATACACAACACACATATGCTTTCAATTGTGTAATTTAAGTGATCTAGGTAGCTCTTTTGGAAGTTCAGTTAATGCTAGAAATGTGTTTTGGAGTTTGTACGTGTTTTGTCTCTAGGGGCCACCGCATATATTTATATATAAACATATATAAATAAAACCACTTTTTTTTTACATTAGTAATTCCTTTTGTGCATAATTTTATATTATTGTTAATAATTAATTAATTAAAGCAACAAAACAACCTGAAGAGCCGGTTCGGAGCTGAAAGAGCCGGCTCTTTTTAGTGAGCCGAACCGAAAGAGCCGGTAATCCCATCACTAGAGTATCAATGACTTGAGACTTTTGGGGAGCACGCCCCAAGTGGCCAATGGAGGAACTGCAAGTTGTGGTACTCCAGCCTGGAAGATTGCCACTTTGCATGGTCCCATTATTGACCCTGATGATTGGCCCAAAACATCTCAGTAATTATTGGACAGATTATTATTTAATTTTCTACATTTAGTCACCAGATGATGAACTCTAATTAGGCTAAAAATCTGAAGTACATTGGTTAAAGTATTTTTGAATTAAATTAAACCATCTTACAAATTACCCAGTTTTAGTGATAATAATCATGGTTCCTAAAGCATCCCACCAACACACACGAAGTCTAAAATTTCCTATAACTCCAGGTTAAACTCTTGCCTTTATACACTTAGTCCTGGTGTTTTCTTCTAGTTCGAAACAAACATCAAAGACAGGGAGCATTAATTCAAACCATTTTTTTTTTCCTATAACTACATGGAGTCACACTCAAGGCCAGGAATCTTCTTTTCCAATCATCTGTCAAAATCCTCATGAAGACATTTTGCTCGAGACGCTCGAGGAAGCATGTCCATATCACAGTCAAGATGCAGACCACACTTCTTAACCACATGCTGAGGCAATGGAAAATAGAACAGCAAGACACTTTTGCATGACTTTAGGCAATTACAACATATACCACAGCTTAATCGCAAAGCTTTATCTAAGGATTGGAAATCATCACAGACACAGACAGCTACTGACGAAACAGGGAAAAGGCTTGCTGCAAAGGTGTTTCCTCAGATGGTCTTTACAAAAAATGTCAGTGGTATGTAGTGGAAAGTCAGTTACTTAATGTGTATGCGTGTTTTCTGATTCTTCACTTTATTCAGAACCCAGTATCATCCTCTGGGTTTCCATTAAAAGCAGCGAAGCAGTGCAGGCTGAGGAGTGTGAATACTACTGCAGGGATTTTAAGCTCAGGAAGGAAACTGAGCACAACACGAGCTACATGTCACGAGTGTGTGAGCTATGTACGTTTACATCTTTGAAGCAAAATATAAAGAAAGACTGATCAGAACTGGAACTGAGTGGCTCAAACTGCCTTGGAATAATTAAATGGTACATAGTTCACATGATAGTCTGCAAACTTGAGCACCATCTACTGGTAGTAACAGAACCTCAAGAGGTTCAATCTAGCCTGGAAAGGCAGGAGGAATAAGGGGTATATAAAAAATAAGCTATTAAATAATGTATGGATACTAAATGGCAGGATTTAAGACTGCAATGATTTTGCCTCAGATAAGAATGAACGCATGAAATCAAATGAATGTTTTTTTTTTTTGTTTGTTTTTTTTTTTTATACAGGTGACCCAGGAGTTTTTGTAGATAAGATGGTGTGTCCTGACACACTGCCACAAAAATGCAGCGACAATCACAGCATAACATGGACAATTTCTGTCTTGGGCAAATTGTTTACATTGGTAAAATTAGTATTTTTTCTTTTGTGCTAAAACTGGCCTGCAAAAGGGTTCGATCTGGTTTACTGCATGGTGCTGCGAAGTATAGAAACTGCAAAAAAAGGGGCATAATTTTTGGAACATGCTATAATGGAAACCTATCAAGACTAAATGCTGGCTAAGGAAGTATTTGTACAGACTCCTGGTCCAGAAAGGCCTGCAGTACTCAGGCAGTGCATGAACAGCTACTGTCCTGGAGATCGGAGCAGTTCATCTTCGTACCCCTGTCCAGTCAGATTTCCACCAGGAACAATCGGATCAAGCATGCCAATAGCCTGGCCTCAGCAGACTTCTGACGACAATGTTTTGTATGCACTTTTGCATATCTGTATTCTGAGACCACTGGCTTAAGAATGCAGTAAATTGAACCAAATATGAGGCGTACATTTCAATTCGGCACACAGTTTACCAGTCCCACAGTTGGCTAAAAACAAGCCAATTGAAACCATAAAGTACTCATTTTGTTAAGAGTGACAAAAACAGACAGAATTACAAATGAGCAAATGTATAAGCCTTACAGGTACAAGTCCGTTCGTTCTGTGCGTCTTATTGAATCAGTTAAATTCACGCTTATGAACAGAAACACTGTAAATAAAAGGGTGTCCCATCTGCTGAAACACCTTTAAAATGAAGAAAAGAGAAAAAAAAAAAACACCACGGGAAAATAAAGAGACGTGGGAACTTTACAATGTACAAGTTTATTTTTAATGAACTCTTCAGTGGTTGGTAGTCACAGCACAACTTGCATGTATTAAGCCACACACCTATTTTACAAGATGATGGGAGAAAAAAAAATCAAAAAAAGTTATGGTCAAAAGAAAGAAAAGAAAAATTCAATAAACAAAAAAAAAAAGCCACCATGAAACAAACAAATAAAAAAAAAAAAAAACAAGAAAATAAAAAGTTGGTACAGACAAGGAAATAATTAAGATGTACATTGCAAAAGCGCTTTCAAACCTTAGCACTTATGTCATTATAATTCCTATTGGATATCTTTCAAAAAATACATCCATATAAGGGACACGGCAATGAAAAAAAAGAGAAATAATCGCTTCACTACATTTCACTTTATTTGTATTAAGTTTCTTGGAAGAGTGCTGTTAATTTTGTTTCCATTTTTTTTTAAAGCTCTAGTATTATAGCCAAGGTGTTGTCACTTAAAAAAGGAAAAAAAAGTATCTTAGGT